GAATATACTCATCTTTCCAGGCAGTTGTCTCTGTGTCTGTCATCTTACCAGCCTTGATTTTAAAACATGCCGGGTACCTTTCAAGAAACCCCAAACCCTGTAACATAGGTGGGATAGGCATTCCTGGGTACCAGCCAGGCAGCTAGAGAGATGACAAGTCAGTATCTGAACAGACAGTGTAACTTCAGAAGTAGTATAGGCTGAGCATCCCAAATCCAAACATCTGAAACTTTCTGAGGACAGACATGACGCTCAAAGGAAATGCTCATTGGAGCGTATTGAATTTGAGATTTCCACGTTTGGGATACTCAACAGTAAGTATAATGCAAAGACTCCAAAATTTAAAATAATTCAAAATCTGAAACACTTTTGGTCTCAAGCATTTCCAATAAGGGATACTGTTAGTCATGATGTTAATTTGTCTTTATATATGTTTCCACATATCTAAGAGGGTTTCACTAGGGGCCACCTTGTCATGACACTCAGCCAAGCATTTCCTAGAAAAGTTCTGACAGAAACTACTTAGTCCTCGTGCATTGTGAACCTCAACTCATTTTCTGTTTCTAATTTCAATTTAGTCTCAGCCTGATATTCTATAAATGCACACACTAGTCCACAGCAGTGTCCTACAGAGGAATGAACTCTCTCCCACACAACTGAAGACTCACAGAGATTAACATGAAATGCGACCTTTGCAGTCATTTCTCTGATTTGCTAGCCCATGAGTTGAGCCCGTTTATTCACTCAGAAATACTGAGCTAGGAAACGCTGTTACAGAAGAAAATAGACACAGGCCCTCTTCTTTAGGACTCCAGATACCTTATTTCAGGGGAGCCAGCTGTGCAAAACATGGGAAACTTGGTTTATTTCTTCGCAAGAGCAAGACTTATTATATACTGTTAAGAAAATTTACGCCTCGCTTCCACCCATCTCTGCTGCTCTTCTTTACTTGTCTCAGCCATTCTTTTCCTATGGGGAATCTCATGCTGTCCTAGCCTTTCTCTTTGTCCTTAATAACTCTTTCTGTCTCAAGCAATCTTTTATGAGTTGATTTAGCAACTGCCCCATTTTCGTCTCCTGAGAAGCAATAGAACCAGCAGGTCCAGGAGAGAGGAAGGGATGTGAATGCTCTACAACCAAGTGGCAGAGCTGCGGGCATTGAGGGGAAGCCTGAGCCAAGTCCACGGCTGCCACCCACCTGTGTTCAAGCTCCAAACTCTGCAACCGAAGAAAATCATAAGCCCGGCCTCAGGTTCTCAGCTTTCCACAAGTTAAAGTATGAAAAAGAGCCTTTCCCGTCTGGTGATACTAGACTAGAACTCAGAGCTGAGAGGTTGAAGTACAGTGTCAATCAGGAAACCCAGGTTCACTCAAGTCTTGAGAAAAGACATGTGTCATAAGAGCTAGGAGGAAATCCCAAATTAGGTTGTGGGGCTGCTCCCTGAGCCCCCAGCCTCTCCTCTCTGCATCACAGCTCCCCAAAGCCTTGTACCTCAGGAGCTCATGGATGAGAGCTGGACCCCACTGCTGCCTTTGTCATACTTGCTTTCTGTAAAGGACCTAACCCAGTGGTGCACTGCATGACAATGCCTTGTCAATGACAGACCGTGTATATGACAGTGGTATACAAAAGATTACAGTGGAACTAAAATTTAATATACTCCAGTGACACTGTAGCCATCTTAATGTCTTAGCTCAAAGTGTTACTCAGGCATTTGTGGTGATGCTGGTGTAAACAAACCCTACTATGCTACCCATCCCATTAAAGTCTAGCACATGCAAATATGTATAGTACATAATAATTGATAACAAATATAAATGACTATATTACTAATTTTTATGTATACTATACTATACTTTTTATCTTTAGAGTATGCTCCTGCTACTTATTTTTAAAAGGTGATTGTAAAATAGCCACAGGCAGGTCCTTCAGGAGGTATCTAGAAGAAGGCATTGCTATCATAGGAGGTGACAGCTTCATGCGTGTTATTGCTCCTGAAGCTTTTCCAGTGTGAGGAAATGTGGAGGCAGAAGACAGTGATATTGATCATCCTGACTCCATGTAGGCCTAGGCTAATGTGGATATTTGTGTCTTAGTTTTTAGCAAACAAAATTTAAAAGTTAGAAAAAAGTGGAAAAAAGCTTAGAATAAGGATATAAGAATACATTTTTATACAATTGTACAACATGTTTGTGTTTCAAGCTAATGTTATTATGCAACAGTCAAAAAGTTAAAATAATTCAAAGTTTATAAAGTTAAAAAGTTACAGTAGGCTAAAGTTATTGAAGACAGAAAAATGTGTTTTGATAAATTTAGGGTAGCCTCATTGTACAGTGTTTATGAAGGCTATGGTGGTGTGCAGTAATGTCCTAGGCCTTCATTCCCCACCTACTCACTGACTCACCCAGAGCAACTTCCAGTTCTGCAAGCTCCGTCAGTGGTAAATGTCTGTACAGATGTACGGTTTTTTTTTTTTAAATCTTTTGTACTTTATTTTTATTGCACATTTTCTGGGTTTAGATACACAAATCCTTACTATTGTGTTACAGTTGCCTGTAGTATTCAGTACAGTGGCATGCTGTACAGGCTTGCAGCCTAGGAGCAATGGGCTCTACCACACAGCCTAGGTGTGTAGTGGGCTATGTCATCTGGGTTTATGGAAGTACACATCAGGATATTCACACAATCACAAAATCTCCTAAAGACAGTTCTCAGACTGTATCCCCCTTCATAAGCAGCATATGACTATATATGTTTCACTACAGCCGATACAATTACTGATAAGTATTCTCCCTTCTAGGTAAGATGCACTAATTAAAAATTTTAGACCTACACATATATGTGGTCTAACCCTTTTAGAATGGGGAATGGGGCGGTATTTATTTGTGCTCAGTCTCTCAGAACTGAAAGCAAGTAGTATGCCTTTGTATCCTTCAGCAACTAAAGTAATAAACGATAAGAGCTTAATGCTTATTTTTGAATTAAATTTCATTTTGCCAATTGTGCAGAGCCCGGTCTAATTTAACAAAAGGCTTTGAGAAAAAATACAGTAGAGCAGATGCGCATAGCAACCATTAAATTAGAATACAACGGGGAGGCTTCTGCCAGGGGAGCAGAGAAGGCCTCCCGAGGGGCCCAAGGGACGCGGAGCTCTGGGGTTTAGAGCGGAAAGAGGCAAATCTGAGACCAAAGAAACTGGGAGGCTGGTCTCCAAGAGCCCCGAGTCACCTCCCAGCACCACTGCGGTGCCACTTCCTGTGAGGGGTTTTAGGGGGATCAGTCCTACTACTTTTTAGGATCTTCCTGTGTTTTTCCCAGTCCCTGCTTTTTACCACGGTAAAGTGTAGGACTGGGACAAATGTTGCATGCTGTGTTGTAAGGAGAAATTGAGATTTGCCACTTTGGGGACAGGCGTCCAGTGGAGGGGCACGGGCGTTTCCGAGGTGGGTCCTCGGAGGTGGGTCCACTCCGCCTCCGCACGGGCCCAGGACAGCGCGCCGTCAGGGCTGGACTCGGCTGGACGGGGAGCCGGCCGCAGCGCGGTGGACGGGCACACCGGTGCCCACCTGGCGTGGGCAGGGTAGTTCAGCTCTCCAGGGCGGGCTTTGAAAACTTCTGCGCTGGCATCGGCGAGGAAAGGTGCCGGTGTCAGTTTTCAATTTGCTGCTTTCCCCAGAACGCCCTCTCCCGCCCTCCCCTCTCCCTCCCCGCTCCCCCCACCTCACCCCTCCGCAGGGGAAGCCACTGCGAGGGGCGCAGCGTTCTCTCGGCTGCGGGCGCGGG